GTGCCATCAGCAGAAACTGAAAGATCATGTAGAAAACTTTCTTGTGAAACCTGCTCAGGTAATTCATACAAGGCTGTTACTTATTATTACTATATTTTTCCTCATAAAGAGAGGAAGAACAAAATCTATCTTCACTCTATTTTTCAGAAATAATGATGCTTCTTTTGAGAAACTAATTCATTTTTGCCTTAAGGATTCCATAAATATTGTAACTGGTTGTTTTTCCCTTTTGTACACAATGATTAAAAGTTTATAACCAGATTTATGACCCATCTTCAACATGCATTTTATATACTTAAGACTTTATGGCATGTACTTTATGTGCTATTCTTACTTCTGACTCTCATTTATTCTTTACATATTTTCTTTGACCAATTTTTTCTCATCTATTTGAAGCATTATTTGATCTTGCTGAATTTTGTACATCTTTGTAATATCAAGTCATTTTTGGAATAACAGAATAATGTTTATTGATTCAGGGACCACCTGTAAGAAAAAGTTGATTGCTTTTTGAAAATTTACTCTTTGGTTAAAATGTGTTAAAGTTATATTATTGGAATTATTGAATTTTTTAAATGCAAAGTAATTACTTCTAGTCACTTAGAATAATAATTTCTCTATAAATGAGAAAATTGAGTTATGACTTTGAAGAATTTTGTATTAATAAATGTTCCCCCTGCAATATAAATCAAGACAAAAACTAGCATGCCAATATAGAAAAATAAAACAATCAAAGGTTTTACTAATGAAGCATACAGTCCTTTTAGATTTTGTTAAAATGGACATGTAAGTGAAAGCCCACTTGCAGAAACAGACACATCTGGAANTTATATTATTGGAATTATTGAATTTTTTAAATGCAAAGTAATTACTTCTAGTCACTTAGAACAATAATTTCTCTATAAATGAGAAAATTGAGTTATGACTTTGAAGAATTTTGTATTAATAAATGTTCCCTCTGCAATATAAATCAAGACAAAAACTAGCATGCCAATATAGAAAAATAAAACAATCAAAGGTTTTACTAATGAAGCATACAGTCCTTTCAGATTTTGTTAAAATGGACATGTAAGTGAAAGCCCACTTGCAGAAACAGACACATCTGGAAAGAGGCCAGCTCATCTTCCAAGTGGTATAGAAGACCTGCCCATGAGCAAAGAGAAAAGAAGACTATAAGCTTAAAAAAGGAAATAAATAATTAAAAATGCTCACTTTGTGTTAGAAAACTTAATCATAGAGGTCTCATTGTTCTAAAAATTTTCTTTATTATTATTTTAATGAGTTACTAATACAGCTTTTTTCCCTAAATTTAAACTAATCATGTTGGAATTACTTATTTTACTAGTAAAAGTCCTTTTAATTGATCTCTCACTTTAGTGTGAGTACAGATCTTTCTACACACATGAGCAGGTTCCATATGACAATCTGTGATTGCCTCAATGTGTGACCAATTTCTGCATATGGCATTTAATACATAGACTCCAAATTTTCTGCTTCTGTTTCTAAAAAAAATCTTTCTCTCCATGAATAGAAACTGTCCCTATCATTTCCAAGAGAAGCTGTCATTCTACTGAAGCTTCACTTGGAAAGAGGCAGAAGAAGAAAACACTTCCTGATAGCAGATGAGATATTGTTACATCAATGTAGGTTATTTACAAAAAAAAGGANAACACTTACTGATAGCAGATGAGATATTGTTACATCAATGTAGGTTATTTACAAAAAAAAGGGGGGGGGTTATATATTTCTCAGAAAAATAATCATCATTATTCTTATATAGACTTACATATTATTTATATAATTATACATTATTATGTATAATTATATTGTTAATATTAAATATACTTAAATGATTAACAAGATAATATATTATACTTATTTGGTCATATATTATTCTTATGTAATCTTTAACATTACAGTAATAATATGAAAAGAGGTTGCTACAAAATTTATTAGAATTTTTGGAAATTTTTAAAATGGTATCTTTAAATGAAAAGTGAACATGGTGGAGTTTAAATTAAATTTTTAACCAATAGCCCACCAAAGCATACTTTCTCAAGTGTGATACCAGAAAATACACATACATTATGGTTATACAAACTTATATATACACAAAATATTGCCTAACAACAATTCCCACAGTTATCTTTTTCTATTGTTCTAAAGAAAACTTAGGTATAACTTTCATAATCTGAATTCCATGCACTTTTTAGTAAAATGCTTTCTCAAATTGAGAAAACAACAACCTACAGTTTTACTTCTCTCTAATTTTATTACAAATAGCATTCTTTACATAAATTTCATTTTAATAATATATTTAGAACAATGTGTCCTGTTAAAGTAGCTAAATATTTTTAATGTAAAATAATTCATACCCAAAAATAGAGTCCTTTTAGATTTTTTGCTAACATTCTATAAAAAAGGTAATTTCTTGGTGTCAAATATACCCCATGTATTGATTATACCATCGTATCAGATGCTTTATAGAATTGCTTTTCTACATGATGACTTTTTAAGGTACAAAAGTATAGAATTAGCTAACTTCAGATTAGGTATCCCATGACCTACTTGCATAAGCACTTCGCAGATGAATTAAGACATGGCAAACAGAACAGAATACATGATTTCTTCTGAATTTATAGCAAATGTTAAATGAGATTATCCTTGTTATATAGAAGTATATATAACAAGGGTTGTAAAATCTACAGTTCAGAATATATAAACATAATTGAATAAAATGTTAATGAATTCTTTTGTTAGCTGAAGAAGGGTACTTACATCCATTTTAATTAATTTAAAAATTATTACCTTGGTGAACACAGAAAAAGTATGCTATCTGCTTCAGGTAAGTAGATCATTTGACCCTTGAGACGTAAGCAGCTGATCTCAGTCCCAGTCAGTTCATCCTCACATTCTAATTTCTCTACATCCAACAATCCTTCCTTGAAAAGGCAAGACATAACCATTAACTAGTGCCTTTCTTCCTACCTAACAGTTCAGCAACAAGAAGAACACACATACCTCATTTCCTACCAAACCATAAGGGAGAGTAAGTGCATCAACTGGAACAGGAGAGGGCATTTCGCCAGAGTTCTGCCAGGTGATAAGCACAGCGGCTGCCTTACAATTCCACAGAAAAGTGAATTGACTGTCTCCTTTGAACTCAGAGGGACAGTAGCTGTGCTACCACTCACACATTTATTTAAAGCTTCTGTGAATTTTTTTCATGATTTTCCAGTATGGCTACAACATATTTAACAAGACTCTACCAAAGAATAAACCAAGCCTCCATTTGCCAACCCCATATTCATAGAGAAGCTGGAAGTATTCAGTTCCAAATACATAAAGTATGTGTAGGTAAGGCCTTTGGGGGAGCTGTGGGAAGGATGAAATGTGTTTGTACTCTGGGAAAATGACTTTTGCTATGTCTATATCAAGAACAGATGCTGAGAGATCTGCACACTATCTAAATTATCCACTGCATAGATACTTTATCACTTTCATTTTCCCATAAAAAATGGCACCTATAATAATGGCCAATTTTAGGGAGAATAAATTAGTGGCTTTGGGTGACATTTTAAAAAATCTTTATTAGTTCTGGTTTTTACACTAAGGCATTGTAACTGTACAGGGAGTAAAAGATGTTGGTTTTAGTATGTGAAACTGGGATGTTCCAGCAAAACAGTCTCTAAAATCTTACTTTTTATTAATTCTGATAGAGTTCCACTGCTCTTCAGGCAAAACAAAATCAATAACATTGCCTTTTAAATAGGTCTCGCTTTGAGGTTTGATTTTTATATCACTATATTTTCTTCATCTCAGAGAATATGATAGCAGCTAATTTTCCCTTCTGCCACTTCTAATTTGTAACTTATCTTACTTACATTTAGTGAAATAATATCTTGATTACCTTGCTTCTCAATACGAAAACAGTATTGATGTGTGAAAGGATCCCATGGAAACTAATATCAATGTGAGGACGAACCAGAGAGAAGACAGACAAAAGGCTGCAATTCCCAGGCTGGAGCTAAAATGTAGATAAAGAGCAAAGGGCACTTAATTAGTTAAAACAATTTCTATGGTTTGATATTAATCACTAGATTAAACCAGCTCAATTATATTTAAAAATAGAGAGTCATAATTCTTGTGTAGGAAACTTACCTGAACTGTGGACTCAAATATTCATCTATGCAACTCAGTGATTAAGTGGACATCAAATAGTTTCATGAACATGAAACCTAATATTATTAGATGATTAATATTCGAATATAAGCAAATATAAGTAAAAGAAGCATTTCAGAAGAAGAAAGAATGAGAAAGATAAATATCTTTTAAAACGTAGCATGTTGTGTTAAATGCCCATGGCTTGAAATGAAATTAAAATATCAAAAGACTAGCAAATACTTTCTTAAAGTTTATCAAAAGATAGCTAATAATAACAATAATAGGTAATATTTATTGATTGCTTACGATAAACCAGGCACTGGACTAAGTATTCTTCATGCACTATCTATCCTCATGTCAGCATAAAGGAAAACAGGTAAAGCCAGAGAGGTGAAGTAACGTGTTTAAGGTCACAACAAGGGAGAGGCAGTCAGTCTAGGAGCTCAAACAGTACATTATTCTGCTTTCATAGGTTTACACCTGATCCCATTTGGGCTAATCCTGAATTATCAGCTGATTGTTACTAGAAATTATCAACTTCCTCATTAATGCAATATACCATTTCTACAAAATATTTTTAATGTCCCTATAAGTGATTAAAATAGAAAAAATAAATACATGTCTAAGAAAAGTCACAGTATGTTCACTTAACTCACAGTTAAACAATTTATGTAATATATAATTTGCTGCATGCTACCTGATACATAGTCGATGGGTTAAATGAATGAATGTCTGCTTGCTACAATGGTATCTTTGTGGCCTTTTGTCTCAGGCCCCAAGCAAGTGTTCTGTCACTTTACCTGGGGGAGCACTCGGTATATGGCATTTCCACACTGAGTCACCACTAGGTCCCGGTCAAATATTATGTGAAAAGGAAAAGCTTTGCAGAAGGTATATGGGCTGATGCGTGATTCCTGGGTACCATTTTCTTCAAATCTGTCCAGATCTTCATAAAAATCCTCTTCTTTGGACTCTTTTTCTTCAATTAAAAATTGAGTATGATCACATTCTTCATTTCTTTGCTGAATAACCTTAAGTCAAAGGGTGAAGTGGTGTTAATTGTCTGCATTTCAGTTTAAACACCTAAGTATAATAAGCCAGTTATGAGAATTAAGTTTAGAGGGTTAATTACAAAAATAAAATATGTAAACTCTATAGACATTTCTAAAATAGAAAAATATTTCTGAACACTTGTCCATGGAATTTAAAGACTGAATTATTCACAGTAAAATTGCAAATTTGGTATCAGTTCCCCAGAAGTCTGTATGGCCTCTTTGATAGAATTCGGAAAATAGCATCCCCTTGTCCTGGTAGGCTGTACCTCCTCAGCCAGGCACACTTGTACAGTAAACAACCTAAAAATCATATAAGATGAATTATCAAATATGATCAAAATATTTCAAAATAATGGGAAATGAAATGATAGAGATGCATATTTAAAAATACATGCAACATCATTTTTATTCATCAATTGGCAAATATAAAAAATCACAATACCAAGTTGGGTAGGGTACTGAAAAAGAGTCTTCTCAATGGGTATTTTGGTTAATATTTTTGAAAGATAAATTGATTATATGTATAAAAATACCTAAAAATTTTGTAAATTCTTGCTTTAGTCCAAATCCAGCAATTCAATCTAAGGAAGTAATCATAATTATAAGCCAAGCTCATAATTTATTGAAATAATACATTTCTAAAATAGGCAAATACATTATTATTTAAGTATAGAAATTTTTTTTCTTTTGAGTTTATGAAATTGCAAGCAATACATCCTCTTATACAGGGAAAAACTCTATCTCAACTAAAGCCAGATCCAAACGGGGAATGGTTGAAGCAACATTTCTTCAGCTACACCTAAATGAAAACAAAATGCTTCTCATTTTTACTTTTTTTGTTCAGGAGTGCACTGTAGCATAATCTGAGACTTAAAGAACAAATCAAAACATCTATGGATGCTATTGCGTATTGTTTTTCAGATTCATTCCTCAATGGCAAATTTAGAATATCATTACTTAATTTGCCACACTGATTAAGTGTTACTATTCTTATTTATAATTTTAAAATTTTGCCTTTATTCAAGGTTTTAATTTTTAAATGTCTCTGGATTTTATAATGTCACGTAACACACAAGCCCCACTTTGTAGTTGTAGAAAAACTAATGATGCACCTGAGAATCCAAGTGCCAATAAGAATTGACACCAATTCCTGAAAGAAAGAAAGCCAAGAAATCTAATGTGACATTACTAGATTAAATATATGGAAACTTTTCTAATATAATCCATTTAAATTAATAAAATTAGGTATTATTTTACAGATAATTGTTTCTTTGTGGAATTTTATTGTCTGCAAAAATATTATACAAAATTTTTATTTTGTATAATACTGAACTTGAGAGTTTTGGTCTTCCCGTGTGTGTTAGAACATAGCTATGATACTGCAGAAAGAACTGCCTATAAGATTTTCTATAAAGAAGAAAAAGTTGAAATAAAGTGTCCTTCTCCCCAGTTTGGCACAAGTTTAGGGCCACTGTAAAATGGCTCTTGGGGCTAAACATGCTGAGCACACAACAAGTGGCTGACTGAGAGGGTGCATATGGGCCAGAGATAGAGTAAAACAGTGCTTCTCCTTGTCGTGACATTGCTGTATCAGTACCTTGAAATTATCACTCAAAACTAAGCATACATATTACCAAGAGCACAATTATTTTTAAGGTACCGGACCTGGCTTCTCCGACCAAAGTAACTTGATTTTAAAAAAAAATTTTTTTTTTAGTTCACAAAATGAGATGTTCCAACTATATTTCAGGGCAGACAAAAAAAATTCCACAAAGAAACAATTAACTGTAAAATAATACTTAATTTTACATCATCTTAAAATTTGACACCCAATGTTATGGGTATTTTGCATGCCGAAGCCCACAACTCAGTCAGTCACACATCCTCCTGCTTCCCAGCTGGCGTGTGCTCACAGAGCATGGAAACTAAACTGCATATTGCCTTAAGCAATGTATAATTAGAAAGAAAAATCTGCTGCCACAAGGAAAAAAATACCCCGCATAATGCATTCCAAGGCCAAATATAGAAAACTGCTGGAGTTTCCACTGTTACAGCTTACAGCTTATATATACCTCTGGGAAGGTCCATTATCAGCCATAAGTAAAAGTACATTCATAGAGTTATTTTTAACATTCTAATGTCATCTGCGTTCAGAAGAGTCTCCATTATTGTTCGTTACCTTCATGTCTATTTCTGTGCCATGTATTTGTTGAGCTACTGTTTTAATGATTCCAATGACAATATCCTGAAGTCCTTCTCTCTCTGAGTAGTAGTGCAGAATGAGTCCTTTCCCCTTTTCTGCATCAGTGCACCTAAAAGAAGGTGCACGCATACCTGGGTAGATAGTAGCAAGGTGGTCGTGCAGAGCATCAAGGTTCTGCAATAAAGAGGAAACAGTGATGAATAAATAATGCTTCCACCATTACAGCCAAATTTGGGAAAGCAACATATGGAGACCAGGCTCAAATCTGAGTTGCCTGGGCAGATGGGCAGGGTAAACATTCACGGAGCACATCCTTCATTCACTTGATATCTGCAAAGCAAGTACCAGAGAGAAATTGAAACTAAAATAGTATAATTAAGGAAAATATCTATAGCTTTTAATACTTAGTACATTTTAAGAAAGGATAAGCAAGTGGGATGTAAAAAAAGAATGCCTGAAGCAGAAAAAAGAACATAGTTAATAGCTAAGACCAAGATATGCATATTTTCAGGAGTCTGGGGTAGTTGTATATGCATGTTGTGATAAACAAGGAATGCCCAAAGTAACCGCAGAGTAAATACTCTTTTATGTACACTACAGTCCTAAAACTTACTTTTTAATTCAAAAAACTACATCAGAGTTATAAGCATATTAAAATATAAGCATACTATTTTGTGAAGTAATGTTTTAAAAATTAAAGCAGGATACTGTCTTCACATTCAATAGTATTCTCCAGTCAAAGTAGAGTTTCATGGTTAACCTGCAAAGTAATTAGCTTTCAGAATTGAAATCTTGGAAAACTAATAAATTGGCCAATAAGTATTTTCTGTTCTTGTAGTTTTGCTGTTAGTTTAGAACATGCCAAATTCCCTACTGTCCTATATTAATCACTTAATATAGAAAACTGATTTGTATAAAGATTACCAAAAATAATAGTGCAAACTACACTTTTTATGTGGCACGACATGCTTTTTCAAAATAATAGTTCATAATGTGTTGGTGTGTGGGGGATGTGAGTGTGTGTTTATGTGGCACATGTATAGTAGCATACACATATAGCACAATATAGTACAGGAATTAAGAGTAAGGTGACTTTAGAATAAAGTAAACTTGGGTTTAAATTATGACACTGTCATCATCAATTGTCAGGGTTGTAGACAATTGACCCGACCTTCTAAAACTAGATTTCCTCTGACAAAGTGAAGATGATGTATAGAAAGCACTTAGCACATTCCAGGTTTGGTAGGCAGAATAATTGTGCCTCACAGATTTTTATACCTTACTCCCTGTGAATGTTTCATATCACATGGTGAAAGGGATTTTGCAGATATGGTTATCCTGAATAATCCAAGTGAGCCCAAACTAGTCACATGAGTGACTGAGTCCTTAGAAGCAAGAACCTTTCCTGGCTACATTGAGAGAGAGGTGCAATGACAGCAGGTCAAAGACATGGGAGCAGGAGGATTCACCACCCTTTTGCTGCTGCTGAGACACAGAAGACTGCTCAAGCTCTGGAGAGAGAAGCTTCTAGGATTTCAGGGTAGCCCCGCGCTGACAGTCAACAGGAAACTCGGTCTTCAGCCTTATTACAGCATAGTACTGAATTCTGTCAACACCTGAATGAACAAGGAAATGATTATCCCTTACGAATAAGGAACACAGCCCTGCCAGCACCTTGATTATAGTCTAGTAAGGCCTGTAATGAATTTCCAACTTACAAAACCATAAGATAATAAATTTACATTGTTTTAAGCACTGAAATATGTTACCATTCGTTATGGTATCAATAAAAACCTGACACAACAAGCAGATAGTAACCTATGAATAATTGGTGATTATTGTCAAAGAGAAGGGAAAAAAACAAAACAGTTTCAGGATTCTATGGGCATAAAAGAATGTATTTAAGAAGAAGGTGCTGGAAAATGCCAAAATTGAACTATGACTGTCATCCTCAGTGTTTCAAAGAGGTCAGTTTAGAGAAAAAGAAAAATCCCGTATGAAATCAGGAAGAAACTGGAATGAGCATGAGATGATTCCATAGGTGCCACGGTTTGAGCAATAATTCAACGACGCACCTATGGCACTGTTGTTCAATTTTCCATCCATCCATTCATTTTATAAGGTTAATATCCTGTACTCTGTCGTGCAGGCAGCAGGGTGGGGTGGAAGTTTGGATACAGATCTGAATGATGTGGATTAAATAGCTCCTGGTTTATATAGTAAATGGATTTGGCTTTTGATGAGCAAATGAGGGTGTCAACAACTGAGACTGAAAGAATGAAGTAAAAAGACTTCAAAGTGAAATAAGACCTGAGCTATGTCATGAAGGTTGGCATTCTGATCTAGAGAAGTATTTCAGTGATCTCCTCAAGTGGGTAAATCTGCTGTCTTTTTAAATTGCCTTCATCTATAGTGCTTCTGTTTTCTTCCCCAAATTTACACCTGTTGTTCAAGTCAGGCTAGTTCTTAACAAAAACATCAGTTCACCCTAATGGCCTCTAGAGGCCGCTATTGCCATGTAAAAGTTACACAGTATAGCAAACACGAAGTATTGCAGTCTGTATGACCTACAAGCCCCTGAATCCTGAAACTATTTTACTTGGTTGAATAGTACGAGAGTCCTTCAAAAAGTTCATGGAAAGATTCATATTATTTTTCAATTCTATTTTTCCATGAGCTTTTCAAAGTACCCTCATACAAGGGGTTCTTCTTATGACCATTCTTCTTGTGGGAATTCTTCCCTGAGAAGGGAAGACCTGAGGACTGCTCTTTGTAACCCTCCCAGATCCCTTACACTTTTACTGGTGCAAATAATCTTGTGACAGAAAATTTGGTGAGAAAAAAAAACATCAAAAGACTTTGCTTTTACCTTCATTTCCTACAAATTCCAATTTGAGTTTGTGGTTGCATTTAGGACATTTTTCTAATACAGTAAGGTTGAAGTACTGTGTTGTGGCTCATTTTTAAAAAATCAAATCAATTAATCACTTGGAAGAGGTATTGTAATATATTTTTCAATTTTTCCTATACAAAATATTTAAATATTCCATAAGTTAATATGACCATATCACTTCCATACTCATCTATTTCATCCTGTATCATACTGTAATATTAGCATGTTTCTACCTGCAGCCAAGCGGACGGTATGAGGCGGTAACAACTGACACAATTTATGTCTGCAGCACCATTGATGCTAAGGCAGATTGGGGACCGGACATGATGGCCCAAGCCTGCTACTCCATGAATCATTAAGGTGCTGTAAATGTGCGTGGAGCCATTTTAACTTAAGTAAAGGTATTGTGAATATTCAGGTCTTAATATTAATAATGCTTAAATTTATCACTTAAAGGCAAGTGAAATGCAAAAAAATGCCAAGTGAGAATGTTCATCTTGTAAGTCTTTTGTGGTAACCAACTCTCCAGAGATTCACTGTTTTATTGAACTATTAATTAAATGGACAAGCAAACTGCTTTCCTGGAGCATAAAAGATTTAACACCACTTAATGTAATATTGATTTTCTTTAGATAGTATCTAACATGAAAAAACACTCTTGGGACTTCTCTAGTTACAGTTTTTCTTATTTGGTTTTACTCTCTCCAAATTAAAGTGATTACCACAGCTTGCCCATTATAAGAAATGGGATTATGATTAAAAATTAAGTTATTTTAATTTGAGTACATTTCTATTGCTAATAAATGTGCCATCTTCCTATTTAGGCTACATTTGTTTCAGAAACCTAATAGACCACAGAAGAGATTCTTAAAATAGCCAAGAGAAAACCTTTTCCACAATTGATAACACTGTCTAAACAAAGTTAATTATTCATCCACATGGCTGTAATGATGTATTCTGGAGAACCAGAGTTTTATATGAAAACTGATATTGTTTTATTTCTAAATATACTCAAGGAAGCAGAAATAAAGAGAAAGGAACTTCATGGCCAATTGCAAAGTATATACATATCTAGGAAAGCACAGGAGACACTTAAATGTAAACACATATACTGCAGCACAAGTAGATTCCCAGGACACAATACAGCAAACCTCAAATATACTTTTATTCATTCTTTTTAGGTTTATAAAATCAAAAAGCAGAAGAGTAATAGAGAGTAGGTCCATTAATCTATTTTACCTTGAGGTTTTAATTTCATTTCATAAAGTTCTGATGTCATTTTACTGTTTTGCCTACAAACAAAATGAGTGTACTTTTTCTACTCAGGAATTCTACCACCTGTAAATCCAGTTCATTTTGTCACCTAGCATTTATCATTTCATAGAAGAAAAATTAGTTCTGGAAGCCTGAGAAACTGTAATGGAGTTCCAGATTTAGTACACTCCACAGATTTAGGAAACAGAGAATGATTTATTATTCCTTTAAAAAATAAAGTTCCATATTTCTTTTCTTTTTTCTTCCTTTTGTTTTTTTAAATTTCCATATTTTTAAAGATCTTGGAATGTTTCACAATAAATGCACATTTTCTATTGTAATACGCATGCCAAAAATAAGCTCATTCAGAATTGCAGAGGCAGATTAACCAGAAATCAGCTACCTCACTTCCCCGTTTCTAGGACATCTAATTAAAAATTCCTACATGATTCACAGAAATGGGGATAGTAAGACCTTGTCTTGAAAGTTTTGAAGGAAAGAAATTTTTGAGTCCCCAAAAATCCTTATTCTAATGGGTGGGAAGAAGACACTTGTCTGTGCTGAGAATATTACTGAAGTTTAGGTCTGAAAGAAATCTTAAAAATTAGTCATTGCAAACCTCTTTTTTTTTTTAATAAAGGAGAATGAAGCACAGAATTTCCTTTCTTTTTATTCCCCACACCTCTGAAAAATAGGACCAACACCAACATTCTTTAATAAGAATCGTGTTATTTGCAAAATGTTTTAAGTTATATAAGAAAAAAATCATTTTAGAATTTGAGGATGAAAAATTTAAACAAACAAGACCTAAATAAAGTGGAAAACCAAGCCCTAGATAATGGAAAGCACAAAATTAATTAGCATAAAATCAGATCAAGTAAAAAGTTAATGCTTTAAAGATATTTTTTTGCCTTTTCTTCCTGGAATTACTCCGTGAGAAACAGCCTTCCAAATTAAAAGATACAGAGAATCTTTTTAAAAAGAAATAATAGAAAGCTGTATTTAAAAAGAAATTGTACCAGAGTCA